AAAAAAAAATCTCTCTTTTCTATTATCATCACCACAGAATGTAATATAATATATTTTTACTTTGATCATTATAAAAATCAATACCTAAAGGACTTCAGCCCAGTGGTTACATTAAATTTGTGTTTTTCTCATTTGCCTCCTCTCTGTTTCTTAGTGGTAGAAATAAGAAATTAGGGCTGTCTGTAATCTTATACCAGTTATTAGGAAAATATACATAAATACAATAAACAGATGAATAAATGTGTCCATCTCATGTTTTCAGAAACAAGCATTTTCACTGGCATTATTACAATTTCTCTTCACCACATGCCAGGAGAAAGGAAAGGTAAATAAGTTTTGACTCTAAATTTGATCACTGGAAACACTAAGGATCCAAGAGGATAAAGATTTACTTCAGCAATTCAGAGTGGTACACTGCAAGGGTCTTTGCATGTTTTGTTATGTGTTTGTTTCCCGCTGCTTCCCAAGGGCTTGTGAACTGCACGGAAAGTACAGACTGGTTCCTTCTCATGGTCCCTCTGGGGTCTTGGTCTGTGAAGTTAAAGCCAGGACTTGACCGAATCTAGTGAGTTACTGGACCACAGCCGGGCCAGGGCACCTTCAGCTGTCTGCCACACTGTCTAAATATGTCTAGCATAAGCCCCGATGAGGTTAATTTGGGACACAATGCCTGAATCATGCCTGAATCACAAGTGACCCTGAGTGATTAGGAAAAGTATATTCTCTCTACTGTAGTGATCCTCCTTGGGGCAGTAGTTCGTTCTGCATCTCTACCAGGCCTGGCACACACTAGGACTGCAATAATGTTTGCTGAGCAGCTTTACCAATGGTAAGGAATATATCCATTATGTAGAATGGAAGAATGATTGTACACATTAGCTTCACCCAATCTTTATTTACCAAACTTCACCTTAGAGTGGTATATAAAATTCAAATCTGAGAAATCTAAGACCATACTAAAACCATAGTGACCAAATTATTGTAGCCTCTATCTCATTGTTTATGGGTTATACTTTGTGTAGAGCAAGACTGAAGTGAGAAGGACTTTGACTGCTGAATAGAACATTCCTGAAAGATGTATAATTGTTCTTATTTCCTGACAAAGTAAGATCATCAAAGGTGGTTCTTGAGCATTTATGATGTGCGAGGTTGCTAGGTGCTTTCATGTGTATTGTTTCATTTAATTCGTACAATGATCCCCAAAAAACATCACTGTGACCTTCATATTTTGGATGATGAAACTGAGGCAAGAAAGACTAAGTGAATTTGTCTTTTTCTTTTTCTCTGTATGTTCCAAAGTCCATTTTACTTCAATTCTATGGGAAAATAGCAGGACATTTATGCTACCGTTAAAGGTAAAAACATCAATGAAAGGTTTCTATTTGTTTCTTTTCATTAGTATTTGACAGAAAAGGTGGAATATTTCCTTTGGGAAGAAAAAGGTACTGGAAAGTTGCATTCATATATACATGTACATACTGTTTTTCTGTGAAGGAAATAGAATCTCTTGATCAACTCCTCCTTTATTCCACTCGTGTTTGACGATACATTTGTGTCCTTTATCCATTGACACTCCACTCACGGTCAGCCAGCTGAATTTCATGTATGTGTCATTAGTCTTCATGGTGTCTCCCTGCTGCGATTTGAGAATTGTTTCGTCATCCTTTTCTTTCCAATCTATCTTAATAACATCAGGGAAAAAGTCCTCAAGAAGACAAAGATATGTTCCAGCCTTATGGAGTCTTCTTTCAGCAATTGAAGGAAGGAAAATTGTGGGCTTGGGAGAAATGTCTGCATCAAGGCTTCTATCTGTGGGGAAGTGGAACAGCAATTAGAACATTATTAGAGAAACACAAATTTTGTGTGGTTGGAACCACCCAGCACAGTGAAATGAGGAAATTTGCCATAGAATTAGTGCTTATCTCAGACCTTTCATCCACAGTGGGTTATGAGGGACTGATTGTCCTTATTTTCAGTGGGAAAACAGGTACAAGAAGTCATGTAACTTGCTCAAAGTCACAACACTTAAGTGGCGGAGTCTGGATTAAAATGTGGAATTTTTTGAAACAATACATAATCACTTGTTTGAATGAGAATTCACTTCCATGTGTCCTTGACAATCTATCAAGTTGAACTTTAAATCTTCAAATTGGATCCCAAATTCACTTCTGAAGTAATGGAGGTCTCCTACTTGATTCCTGATTTTATAAAACATCTCAATCTCACATCTGAACAACTCCAGGATTTTGAGTAGGACAATGTTTAAAACTGCACCTCCCAAATATTTACAATGCCTTGAATTTAGAAGCAATGGGGCAGTATTTCCAAAACTGCTATTAGAAAACATTTTTTTCAGAAATGCTTTTGTATTAACTTTATCAAGTAACACACATCAGAATTTTGTTTTGCTTTGGAAAATGTTCACTGAAAGCTCATTTTGTATTGGAATTTCATTTGAGGTTTATATATGACTAAGATGACACCATATTTTGACTCTCAAAGTCTCCCTTTAAAGTTGAATCTGCCCTAGAAAGCTGCTAAATGGTTTTTAGAACCCCACAATATCTGTGATTTCACCTGTGGAATAAAGTATATATATAATTGGTGTAATGTTAGAATTATGGTTCCAGAGTTTCTCGCAGACATAATGTCAAAATATATAACAAAACATCATTGATTTTAAAGGGCATGTCACTTGAACACTGGTATGTTACTTGATTATACATTTACTGTTAGTGATTAAAATTATAAAAGTTAGAATCCTTTTAAAATTTATTTCTACCTGAAATGCAAGTGCTTTACTGATATTCTCTTAGGCCTACTTTGGAGTTAGTTTAGTAATTCAATGGGAAATTTCTTTAGAATTCAATGAGAAATTGGATTTCTCATTTGAGAAGAAAAGGAAGAAAAATCTTTTCTGGATGGCTCATAGTACTCTTTTTTTTTTTTTTAGGAAAAAATTCTTGAGACTTTCTCCCTGTGTAGCAAAGCTCTTATTTTCATACTAAATCAGTAACAAACAATGAGCTTTTATTCATGATATAAATAGAATTAGGTCATAATGTACTTATTTTAAGTTTATATATCTTGATCGTGGTGTAAATAGTATTTTATTGATTATAATATTAAGACACTGTATATTTCTCCAATGATATACTTTGTTTTTAATTTTAAAAACATGTTAGACAAAGATTAATTTTTCAATTGTATATTAATTTTTCAATTATGTGATATTTACATAATTTTAGCCTCTAGTCAATATATTAAGGAATCTAATTTTCATCTTAGAAACTTTGTGTGTGTGTTTTATAGGAATACTTCTGATTCATTATAGGAAAGAAATTGAAAATCAATTGATGAACTTGAAAAATTTCTGGATGGTAACACACTGGTTTTACCTCCTGTCCCTTTTCTTTAGCTAGACTCTTGATGTTTTATTCTTTTCAGCATAAAATGAATCTTGAACTTCTACAATTTTCTCAGTGGAATATTAGCTGTGCATTAAAATAGTGTACTTGATTAAATATGGTTAGCGCCTATATTTTGGGTAATAATATTACATAGTTTTTCCTTCAACATTCTTTTTAAAACTAACTAACAGTGATTTTTATGGCCAAAATCATTTTTATGATGCATAAATTAGAAACCAGATTCCAAGAAAAATAAACCTGTCTAATACACTTATATACATTCATTTGCATAATCACAAAATACATTGGAGTTAAATTGTCAGAGTTATTTATATTTTATTAAGATGCAGCAGTGTGAATTCTATATAAATTTCCCAAATGTCAGCTACATTTCCAATGCAAGTGTGATATTTCAAACCTGCATATTGGTGTTGATTTAATTGTTCTCTATTTTTCTGTTATTTTTCTTTTACTAAATAAATAGAGCTATTTCATATTTGAATGTGAATTTCAAATTTATGGCATTTCTAACTTTATTTAAAGTACTAACTGTATTTAAAAAGTTTAAACTTTTTTCTAATAAATGCGAGCATGAAGGCCAAACTTGTTGGTGTCTGACCATGTCTGCCGGAGGTCACCATCTGTGAATGACATTAAGTGTCATGGTGCCCACAGTAATGATGCAGTGGGAGCATGAAATGTGCTTGTTTAAAGACCATTTCTTCCATTTTATAAAGTGGAAGTGGAAGGCAATGCCCACTCTTTCACTTCACATTCCTCCTAAAGGACTCATGCACTGAAGTCCTTTTCTCATTTTATGGTGGGAAAAGCATAACAAATTTGAAAATTTAGTGTACTTCATCACATTTTTCCCCTACCTTTGCTTTGAACATAAAATTTGACCCTGTGTTTCTTGATAGATAATCACAGGCCTTTTTCTTCTGCTTTCCTTAGTGCTTTTGATCTTCTATTTTTATTTCATGGCCTAACTCTACTTGTGTGTTTTATTTTAAGCCTTCTCAAATAGATTTTGGAAATAAGTAATATAACTAAGTGAGAAATAGTTTGTGCATTAGAGCTTGTTTCTTTTTCTGCCCCAGAACTTGATAGTTTGGTAAGGTCTAACTCAAAGATGACATGAAAAATGGGAGATGTTTGCAAATCCTGCTCTGAGATACAGACACAAAACATGTAGAATTCAAACACATTGAAATGCCAGAGCATAAGGTGAAGCTTTCGTTCCCAACATTATCCCTCACAAAACAGGGGTTGCCTTATGTTTCAGTCTCTCATATTATAAGAGGCTCTTCTAATGCTCTACTTTGATCAAACAATACTACTTGGATATCAACCTGAAATGAACTCAAATTAGTTTTAGAGGTAGAGCTGGTAAAAGACAGTAAAGAAGTTTAATATGGATTTGGTAAATATTACCTGGAACAAAAGTCTCTACATGTTATGTTTACATTGCAAAATATAGAGTACCAGAGTAAATAAAAAAATGCTTTTATTTTATAAGTGGGTAATTTTCTCTTCAGATAAACTATCAACATAAGGGGATCCCAAAACAGACCCTCAAACCCTGAGATGACTCAGAAATTTGCTCTAAAGTGGAAGTTTTAGATGCGTGTGAAGTGTCTGAACAAAATTTTTTAACAAAACTGAGGGCAAAAGAAGCAGTATTTCTCAACTGATATTTGTATTGATATAATTTTTAACTTTGTAGGTATAATTCAATTAAGATATTAAATATACAAGTGAATATTTGGCTTTTATCCATATCACTGTAAGTTTATATATTCAAATTGCAAAACCTCCTCCCTTTTTATGTCTGGATATTTCCACTGATAAATGAGAGACCACCTTATATTCAGGCGATATACTCACAATACTTGAGACAATGCTTATTACATTCTCATCATTTTTTTAAGTTTTTTTTTAAAGATTGATTTATTTATTTTAGAGACAGAGAGAGTAGTAGCAGGGGCAGGCGTAGAGGGAGAGAGAGAGGGAGATAAGTAGACTCCCTGATGAGCCAGGGACCCCTAGATTCTCTTAATTTATAAAAGCAGGTAACAAAATAAAAAAAAATTTTAAAAAGCAGGTAACAATGAGTCTTAGAAATTGAAGTATCCCACAAATTAGACCATTGGTTCTGAACTGATCTGTAGACTAGATGGTAATTATTAATATATTTTTCTGCACTCCTGTTTCATAAAGATTTCCAGTGGGTGGTCTTTGAATTCTAGAGAATAAAAATTCTTTATCACTGACCATGTCCCAATTTTTATGTTAGCTATTTCCATATTTAATTTCATATACCTTAGCACCTTCCACTTGAGATTGTTGTTACATCAATAATAAGAATGGATGAAAATCCAAAATGTTAAAACAGTAACAAGTGTCACTATAAAATTTTAATTTTTTTCTTTATTTTTTCTCTTTTCCAATTTTTTCCATAATTCCAAAATTTTTAAAATTTTAAGAAAGCAATAACCAGATTATACAGAAAGTGATAGATCCAGATTCATAGTCCATATTCCTCTTGACACCACACTCTTCTCAAAAACATCTTTTCAGGAACTCATGAATTATTATGTCTGTGTCACCATTATTAAACTTGATTGCTAGAATTTACATTGATTATGTAGTCAGTTGGAAAAAAGAGCACCAGAAACTTGCTTTTCAATTTATGAATTCATTTGTACCTATGATCACAACCATTAAGGAAAACTAAATATATTTCTTTCATTTTTTCAATGTTTTATCACCTTTTTGAAAATTCTTTGAAAACTTTTATTTGACTCGACCTAGTACTCTAGAAACATCCTTCTGATATATTCTCCCTCATTCAGGCAAAATTTCATCTTTAAGGCTAATGAAGAATGAACAAATTTACCAGACTGATATTGGGGGGGGGAACCTAGCTCATGACATTCTTAAGTATGTTGCATAGTTAAATATTTTGATAGTTGATATTAATCATCCTCTGACCAAATGAAAGTTTAGCAATTTTTGTTCATTCTTTTCCATTGGTTATTTTTGGAATCACATAAATAAGATGTACAGTCTTCTTTACAAAACTTTCAACACAGAAATCCCAAATGGACCTAACATTTCCTCCTCTTAGGGACCTGCAGTTGCTGCAGCTAGTTAGCTACTTGTTAATGTCCTCCATGCTAGCTCAGGCAGCAACTACCTCCAAGGACTGGGATGGAGTCACCAACCTCTCCAAGGATCATGCTGCTACTTGTGACCAAACTGGGACCAAATCCTAGAATTCTGAGCCAGCACCAGCACCTAGCCTTCAGCCCCTGCATCACCTGCCTTCCTTCCCTACCTTATATGGAAGAATGTAAAGAAAATTTACCTGTAATCCTGAGCTGTGTGCCAGGACCAAACACTTTGTTGCTGCTCCAGCCATACCAATCCCACTATCTGAAAAGCTTTTACAAAAAAACCCCTTTGTGCCTCTTTTAAAATAGTGCCCATATTTTTTCAATATTTATATAAATATATAAAAATGGACCCTGCTAATTTTTTTTTTTTTTGAGAGAGAGAAAGAGGGTGAGAGCAGGGGGTTAGGACACAGGGAGAGGGATAGAGAGGGGAGAGGTATGACCAACAGGCAGGGAAATAAATTATCTCACAACTCTGTGATCATGACCTGAACCTACATCAAGAGCTGGATCCTTAACCAACTGAACCATGCAGGAGCCCCAAACCCTGCTAACATTAAACAAAGATGAACCTGAAGCAAAATCACATTAGATATGAATTGATGAACTGACCCCTCTCTGCCTGGTCAGCTTGGTTCTGTCTTTCCCATCTCACTCACAGGGGTTGGAGAATATGATTTTACCTTTTCTCACCATTTTCCTGAAAGTTCTAATCTCTTCCCTTAAAGGGTTTTCTTCTATGATAGCACTTTTACTAGAGTGTAATTTACAGTTATTATTTCTTTAATTTTCAAAGAAGAAAAAAATAGAAATAATATATATGAGTATTTAATAAATGAGTGTTCAGTATTTTTACAGGATTATTTTATTTCCATATATTGAGGGGTGGGGTATCTGGTTTAATTGTAAAGTAAGTTCTTTCCAGAATCTAATTCCCACTGATACTAGACCCAATGAGTTGTTACAGAGTTTGAAATCATAATGATCATCTCTTAACCTAGTTACTCCTGAAGGACTGCTCCTTTGAGCTTGAAATTACCCTAACAGTTTCCAGGGAATTGATTTAAAATTCTGAGTTGCTCTATCAGAGGATCCTGTTTGTTCTGGTCTTTCTGCAGCTGTCCCAGCAGGAGTGCAAAGGCAGCTCTGAGTTATGCAATTGAGTCCTGCATGTAGTATAACTCTCCCTCCCCTTCTGCTCCTCTTCCCATGTGCACTTTCTCTCCATCTCTCTCTCTCAAATAAATAAATAAATAAATAAATAAATAAATAAATAAATAAATAAAATCTTAAAAAATATGGCCTAATGTTTCTAATATCACATAATGGTCTAGACCACATTTTTGGAATGGACAAGTCTCTACTGGATCCCATTCTTTGCCATAGTAACTAGCTGTCCATATGCTGAGGTGATCCTATATTGTTTTTTCTAAAAAGCATCTATCAATTTTTCATTCACAGGATCAAAACAAAACAAAGTTACTTACCTGGGGGAGTTACTATGAGCTTAGTTCCTTGTGCAAATATCTTGATCCAGCCTACGTTATCACACTGGTTAGAGGTTCTACAAAAACATCAGCCTTCTCCTGAGCTTCACGGCAGGACCAGCAGGTAGAAACCTTGTACTGGCAATTTGATCTTCTGGGTTCCCTTGGAAGTCCTTGAATACAGGCTCATAGCATCTGATATTTTATGTTTTCCTGAGATTAGTTGACCCAGATGTCTGTTTTCAAAGGAGGCAGTAATCACTGAGAAGTGCTGATAGAAAACAGAAACAATAAAAGCAAAAGAAAAAAAGAGAGATTGGGAGTAACGGGTCAACCACCTATTTATCTACATTATCAGGAAAAGTATTCAGTGAATTAAGAGGTTTTGATTTTCAGGTGTTCAACTGTGTGAAACTGCTCAGAGATGCATCAAAGGAAAAGCCCTTCAGTTCTCACAAACACCAGACCAGCTCTGTTAGCAATTTGGGATTGTATTTCTAAAGGAGGAAACTTTAGTAACCCAAATGCAACGTACCAACAGAGATATACTTGAGAAATGTGAACAATGGTCTCCATTTTGTAATCATCTACTTTTACGACTTGGCAACATGATTCTTTACCACACCATGCAAAATGAGAAAATAATTTGTGTAACAACATTATTTTTCCTGGAATAAAAAAGAAATTTGTAGAGAAGTCTATCTCCCATGAGATAATAGATTTCGATTTAAACCAAAATTTGAAAACACAATCCATTTCTCTGAAGTGTTGAAAGAAGAAGCCTCTTGGAAGCTTTTCTGTGATCTTCAGAAATGCATGTGTAGCCCTACTTCTGTGGTTAACTAGCTTTGGACAAGACATTTGCCATCCCTGGGTTCCCACATCCCATTTGCTGTGTGGGCATTGGGCTATGAATGTCCAAAGGGCCCTTCCTGTGCCAACAGCTTATGAACCTGTGATTAAGAGCAGGAAAGGGTCTTCTGTGGTTGCTCAAGTGAGAAAGGAGTTGAGGGTTAGTAATATAGAAGGATTTCTTACAGGTCCCTTCTGATTCTGTGATACTGTGAGATCCCTGTAAGCACAATATCAGGTGGCTTCATGGGACGTGAGGACTTTATTGACTATCAGGTAAAAGAATCTGTTGTTTTTCTTATCTGGATCTAAGCCGGAATTGGGCTAGTCTTACAGGTAATATTGGTTGAGCCATATGGGATTCATTTCAGGGGCTCTTCTTCTTTTAGTTGGTACCATGCATGATAGCCTTCTCCAAGGAAACCCCAGACAGCTTGCAATGTATGTGCAATGTTCTGTCTGGTGTTGGGGTAAAGGAAAGTTGATTCTGAAAGACTCTTATTTTGTTTTTGCTTTTTTTTTTAATTTTATTATGTTTTGTTAGTCACCATACAATACATCATTGGTTTTTGATGTGGTGATCCACGATCCATTGTTTTCATGTAAGAGTCTTATTTTGATGCCTCCATTTGAAATGCAAGGGGGTGAGATCAAAGGTACCTGAACAAGTTGACAGTGGACATAAAAACAGTGAAGATAAAAGAAAAGAGTATATTCAACCTACAAACCCAAGCCAAAGACCCATATATCCATGGGGTTGGCAATGCAAGTAACTAGTCAGAATTTTCTCCAAGAGGGGGGCGTGCATCAGACTGGGGAGGCAGTGGCAGCCTATATACTTCAGAGGCAAGGATGGGGGAGGAAGGTTTGCTTTAAAACCAGTGAAAGACCTTCTCAGTAAGATCTGTCTCAGTGTTATTGATTATGTTCCTGGTATAAAGAACTATCTGATCCCAGAAGATCTCACCTAAACCCCATGTTATAATAATTCATTGTTATATTCCCCTTGGGAGCAACATCCTCACATTTTTCCTTTAGGTTTTGCTTCAAACACCCCTATCCTTGAGCTCTTTTTCACTCTCAGAGATTTTCCACCGTATTTTGGGAGAGTGTGTGGAGCTATATGGCTCTTGTGAGAAATGGAAGAAAAGTCTTATTACTTTATGTAATAACAAATGAGACAATAATCCCACAACTTTATTCAGAAGTATGTACATTCTATAGATCAGTAGTTTGTAGAAAGTTCCCAAGGCTTGGTGAATATTAACAATCGCTGTAGCTGTTGCTTTAGATGCTAGGATGTTTCTATATTCTGCTATGAGCGAAGAAAATTCTTGGAGAAAAAATATCTTTTGGTTTATTACCGTCAACTCTTTTCCTATTCATAATTCTCAGCTTTTCAAAATAAAGCAAACTCTACTATTGCTGGGAGGACAATGTAAAGTGTGTCTTTAAAAAAATACCTGAGTTCCTATGTTAGCTGAGATGGCTCAGTGAAACAGTTTAGTTGTAACAGGAAAGGACACTGTGATGTGTTGACCCTGTGCTAGACCTGTACTGTGTGGAGCCTCCTTCAGTCCCCAGCAACCCTATGAGAAAGATGGAGTAACTTTCCGGATCGTGCTGTCAGTTAAGAGGCTGAGCAGGAATTAAACCCCAGGGCCATGTTATTTCAAAGGCCTTATATCTTCTGTCATTCATTCATTCATTCATTCATTCATTCAAGTCAGCACACCATTTGGCACATTGGATTTAGCTTCCTTCCCCAGGAAACTTATCATAGATGGAGAAGCAGGACACTAACTAGGACACCAGTGAGGTCACTAACAAAAGCCAACCTAGGTTCCAGAGAGGTAAATAGATGATAAAGTGACCTAACTAAAAGAAACAACATAGATTGGGTGCTTGGGCTCCTAGCTCAGATCTTGCTGAGGACATAGATGCAGGAGAAAAGTCCTGTAGAGACAGTAGCCAGGTTCCTCTGGGAGGTACAAAGGAGCATGTATGTATTTGCACGGGTGTGGAGTTGTGGGAGGGTTTTTGTTCAGTGGCTGTGGAGCATTTCCATACAGTGTATCCCAGCAGGCGCAGTAATACAGCCCAGCATCTTCCTCATTAACTTGGTGTATCCTGAGACTCGCTGGCAAATCGCTCTGCCGTTTCCTGGCTTCATATCTTTCCTCACTAACACCTTGTTCGTGGACCACATTTTCATTTGAGGAGATATACAGAATTCGTTTTAGAGGCTGGTCTGACTTCTGTCGGTACCAGTGAATATATACGTTATTCCTTAAGCCACTTGTTTTTATTTGGCATTCTAAAAATGCTGTGTTTCCTTGTTTCTTGGTAATGGATGGTATGAGTTGCGTTATTAAAATGTCTGCATTTGTATCTGAAAGGAAAACAAAAACAACAATTAGCAAAATTTTGACATTCCTTAAAATAGTACGCATTTGTTTTCTATCAATAAAATGCTTGAGGTCTGGCGTATACATTTTCTTCCTGAAGAATTTAAAGTCATCGTGGAATTTATCAGCCTGGATTGAATGACCTTTTGGGCTTTCTTCTGCCCATAATGGCTGACTTGATTGTCCATGTTTTCTCTCTCCTTTCTTCACTGAGTGAAACCTCCCAAGGGTAAAGCCACCACTTACAACTCCACAGGGAGGCCACCAGGATGACCTGTGGCAGGAGCAGCATCCTGCCAGCACTGTCAGGAGAGGTGGTTGAATACTGGGCTGATCGCAGAGCAAATCTGAAGGATGATTTAGTAGAGGAAGTGGTGCTCTGCACACACAGCTATGACTCATAGACTGCAGAGAAAGAGACCCACAGTATTTACCACAAATCATCCTGCAAAACAGGACTACTAACTCAATTTATCAGTACATCTCTCTCATTATTGTGTGATTGTTACCATGAATCGAAAATTAGTGTAAAGAAGCCATTTCTTATTAAAGGACTATAGTCCTTTATTGGTTCAAATCAGAGAGTGGAAGAAGGAGAGAGGAGGAGAGTTCTTACAGTTTTCTTCTTCTAGTAGTTATGATTCTCTGCTTCTCTCTCTCTAACATCCCCTCTCTCTCTCTGACTCTGTCTCTCTCTCTCTCTCTAGTCCTTCCATTGCAGTTTATGTAATTTCTAGTGGCCTATCTTTATGTTAACTAATTCTTTCCTTATATCTCTTAAATCCACTGGTGAGCCTTTCAGGGCATTCTTCATCTGTTACTGTTTTTTATTTCTTGCATTTCCTTTGGTTCTTTAAATCTCTATACTGAAATTATCTGTCTGATTTTGTATACTACTTACCTTTCTATTAGATTAAAGCCTTTAACATAATAAAATAAAAAAATGCAAAAAAAGAAGATAATGAGCACATCTTTCCTTCTGCTAGGCCATTATGTGGGGGTTTGGGTTACTAGTCAGGAGTTAGACTGGATTTGAAGTTTGTTGTTGGTAAGTTATCAGAGTTGAAATTTATTGTTGTCAGAGTTCAGGGACTTAAAAATTCTCTAGTTCTACTTTGTTTTTGTTTTTTCTTTTCTGGATTTTAAGACTTTTTTTAAATGTTATATTAATCACCATACATTACATCATTAGTTTTTGATGTAGTATTCCATGATTCGTTGTTTGCGTATAACACCCAGTGCTCCATGCAGTATTTGCCCTCTTTAATACCCATCACAAGGCTAACCCATCCCCTGAACCCCCTCCCCTCTAGAACCCTCAGTTTGTCTCTCAGAATCCATATGCTCTCATGGTTCGTCTCCCCCTCTAATTTCACCCTTTTCATTCTTCCTTTCCTCCTATCTTCTTCTTCTTTTTCTTAATATATAATGTATTATTTGTTTCAGAGGTACAGGTCTGTGATTCAACAGTCTTACACAATTCACAGCGCTCACCATAGCACATACCCTCCC